TCTATAAACACAGGGCCAAAAGCAGCCCCACTCAGTGGAGTTGCACCAGTTTAGGCCAGCGCTGAATCTGGCCCATAGTGACGATTCTGATCAGAGGTCTAAAAGGAGCTAGCTTAGTCACTGCTGTCCTGATCAGCAGCTCTGCCTCTTCCTCCCCTTCCCAAAACAGGTTTTCAGAAGGTCTTCTATGCAGCCAACCCACTACAGGGAAAGAAACCAAGCCTGGGATTAAGACCCATGTGGTCCCTCCTGCTGGTGCAGTGTCCTATTGGAGTTCCTTGAGCACAGCCACCTCTTCAAGAAGCTGCAGCTGAAACAGTCGGTGATTGCTGGACACACACAATTGAACCACACACCGAGTCAGTGTTGCACAGTTCCAACTGACCTCACTAGGCCACTAGGTGTCACCAGTGCTCCACACGAGCCCCCTGAACCTCCTGCTCTACAACACCGTACCCAGCTGGAAGCACGTTACCAGGCCATGCATCTTGCTGGACATGGACACTATGAATTTCTAAATGTCTCCCAGTCTGTAGCTATGGATCTTGAGGGGGCGGGTAGCCAGAAACAGAAGGTTTCTTACCTTATGGGAACTGTGATGCTTTTAAAATGTTTTGTCCATGTGGATCCCACTTATGGTCTGTATGTGACTCGTACACATCACTTATGGACCATCCACACGGACAAAGCCTTGAAGAACTAGGTAGAGCCTTCCCAAGTGTTCTGTGCAGTGGGATGGAGCAGCTGCAGTAAGAGACACGCCCCAGCCCACCTGGACCATAATCCCATTTCCTGCAGCTTTTTTAATGGATACAGAATGTTGAGATTTCACAACCCGGACATCTGTGGCAAGCCTTTTGTTACCAGTGCCCTGTTCTAATCCTGGCAATGCAAAGGGGAATCCTTTTCACCTCCCCTGCTCCTGAGACATCTCAGCGCAGGGGTTCTCAAACTGGGGCTGGGACCCCTCGAGGGGTCGCGAGCTGTTAGCCTCCACCTCAAACCCCGCTTTGCCTCCAGCATTGATAATGGTGTTAGATAAACAAGTGTTTTTAATTTATCGGGGGGTGGCACTCAGAGGCTTGCTGTGTGAAAGGGGTCACCAGTACAACAGTTTGAGAATCACTGTCCTAGAGCATGAAACCCCTTGGCAATTATTAGATTAAAATGCTCCATAATGTAAATTTGTGTTTTCCCCCTTCTTGGCACCCCCAGCCTTCAAATTGAGCCAGGGTTACAGCTCCCCACCCCCACGAGCTGCCTGGCTTTCCTGTTCTTGGGCCATTCCGAACTCCGCCTAGTTAGCAGTAAAGGTTTTCATTAAAGCTTGTGCCTCTGTTAAAGGCTTTTTACTCCTCTGTGCAGGGCCGCAGCATTGTCCCAGGAGAGATGACTACGTGCCGCTCTCCTGGTATTTTAGTGCCACTGCAAGAGAGGCTGGCAGGGTGCATAATCATGACCAAGCCTTTCCCCTCTATCATGCTCCCAGCCCCCCACCAGCTCTGGGAGAGAGAGAACCTTTCCCTGAACCAGGTAGACTTGCATTGCATTGTGGGAGGACAAACAGCGTCATGGGAAGGAACTCGGAGGAAAGGCAAACGCAGCAGGGAGGAGATAAGGCAGAACGGGAAGGGAAGGGCGGATGGATGTAAATATTAGTCAAGGTGTTCAGCAGCTTAGACCCGGTGAATGGTGCCAGGCTGCATTTTTATTGCAAAGTCCCACTGGATCTATTTAAACCTCTCCGAATCAATCTAGCTGTAGCACCCAATGAATTGTCCCCAGAGCCAAGCCTTAGGCTGAAGGCCTGTGTATGCTGATTGACCCAGCCTCTGCAAGGTGGGGCTTGGGCACCCCACACACCCCTCAACCTGCTGAGACCCACCCACCTGTGAACAGAACGCTTCGAAGGCTGGGAAAGGAGGAATTCAGCTGCTCAGCCTGCAGACTTTCACTTAGCACAGAGCTTCTCCCCGGGACAGCAAAGCTCGGTGCCCGGCCCAGGGCTGCCCTCTGCCCAAAGGAGCCACGCACCAGGGCCCCCTGGGCTTTTCCTTCCTCATCCATGAGCGTTCACTGCCCTTCCGGGAGCGGCAAGACCTCGGCAGCAGCACTGCGCTGATCCTGGGCTCTCGGAGGCACCCACCTTAAAGCGCTTACCTGGTGCCACATGTCCAAAGCCTGTTTGCAGCCCAGAAATTCAGGGCCACAATTGTTCTCAGAAGGTGCCAGCAGATTCTGCACATAACGGCCAGTGTGCAGTGCCCAAGCTGGCCCAACCAGTCCCTTCCGGTAGGTCCTACTCCTGCCAACGTATGTTGCCGTGAAGGCAGCCCAGCTCACCCGAGTACCAAGCAAGCTCCCCAAGGAAGCCTATTTAGATGGCCAGCTCTGTAGAGGGGGGAGAATCCATTGTGCTGGGCCTGGTACAATGGAGACCCCCTCTCAGCAGGGCTCCCTAGACCTTGTCAGACACATCTCGCAGTGTTCCCAGCACCCAGCTGCACCGATGAGGCAGCGCACGAAGGGGCGCCCCAGCCAGGCGTGTTCATGCTGGGCTTCGTAGAGCCCAGGCCAGGGAATAAAGCAGAAAAATGCTTGGAGGGTGCGAGCCAGTCCCCTTCCAGCCATGAGGGGCACCACTGAGATTCATTAGCGGTCTCAGCCCCATGGCGCTAGGCGCTGTACAGAAAG